CAATTTTTTTAAAAAAATGGAATGAAATGAAAGGCATTAATAATGTACCAGCGGTTAAGACAGAATGTACAAAATGGTCGAAAATGTCTACCATACCGAAGGCTTCCCTTACCTCCGCCTGGGCTCATTTTAAAAAGAGAATATTTAGAAAGGAAATCTCCCTAAAGCCAACGGAGAAATAAATGTGTATATAGGCAGCCTACCCAGTGTTGGAAACGGCCCCTCATTATGCAAGCTTTGGTTTTGCTCCGCCCTCTGTTTAATTCCCCCCCCCCCTTGCTTATGATGAGATTAATAACCAAACTTTTGCTTCTCCAATTGCTGCCTTTAATCTATCTGCATCACATGCACATTATAAGCACGTATGCATGAGTGTGTGCATATGTATGTGTGTTTGTGTGAAACATACACACACGCACACATGAATGACAAGCAAACATGCATCCTTTCCTTTTAAGGCTCGCCAAATGGCTTCTGGCATCTGAAAACAGAGCTTAGGAACAAAACCAAAGAAATAGGGAGCAAGCAAACAGCATATTAACAGCGACATAGGAGAATACAGGATTAGCAAATAATATATAATATATATTAAATGATTTATAATGTATTAGATATTAGATATTTTATAATATTATATATATAATATTATAAATATTATATATATTAAAATATTATAAATATTATATATAATATTTATAATATATTAGATATTAGATATTTTAAAATATATAATGCTTATAATACATTATACATATCATATATATCATTATCATATAATATATAATATTATATATAATATTTTAAAATATCCAATATATAATATATTATAAATATATATTATACATATTATACATACAATATTTATAATATATTAGATATTAGATATTTTAAAATATATGATGTTTACAATATATTATAAATATATATATCATTACATATATAAAATATTATATATTTTATATATATTTTAAATATATATAATATTTTTGAGAAAATAAAATGAACTGAGAGAAAATAAATCTAAAGACAAAGTAAATTTCCAATAAATTGATTTTTTTTTAAAAAAATGCAAATATACCTTTACATATGCATCAGTATTAAAAATAATGCACGCTGGAGCCAACCGGAGCAGCAGCAGGAGGAGGAGGAGGAAGAGAGGAGAATGGCGCAGCCTTGATTATGCATAAAGAGGGAGAGAGAGGGAGAAGGGGGGGGAGGCGTCTGGCTGGAGCTGCCTCCGCGCAACCTGCCCTTCTTCCCGCGCCTCTCCGCAGGCCGAGCGCCCTCAGTCAGCGGCCGGAGCTGATCGGCAGGAATCTCTTCCCCCATGCTTAGCAGATCTTGCTCATTTGGGCTTTCGCTGGGGTTTCCCCCCTTGTTTTTTTCCCCCCTCTCTTTGGTATATTTTAAAGAAGGTTTGGTTTGATTCTGCTTTCCGCCCTCCCCCCTCCCTAGTCTTTTTTGTCCCCTTAATTAAAATCTTCTCTGAAAGAGAAGCGATCGCTCCGGGAATCTACAGTCTCTTCTTCAAGCAAGCTGGATTTGCATATTTTTTTAATGCCCTAATTTCCTTGATGTATGTAAATGTAGCCGGACGTACAGTATGTAAATGTAGCCGAGCTGACGTCAATGGACGTGACCTCGCTGCTAAACCTTGAACGTGAAGCTGCTGGGATGAGGGAAAGCGGAGGAGCGAGGAAGAGAGGGAGAGAGAAAGGAGGGAGGGAGGGAGGGAGGGAGGGAGGGAGGAAAGAAAGGAAGGAAGGAAGGAAGGAAGGAGGAGGAGAACGAGGAGCAGCTCCCAAGCTGGAGCCTTCTTGGGGGGCAAAGAAAGCCGGCGGAGACAGCCAAGGAAGGCGGGGGGGGGGGGGGAGATGCCAGACGAAGCTACTAACAGCCAAGGAATTGTATTTGAGAAAGAAAGAAAGACAGACAGACGCCGGACTCCAGCCCAGTGAAGGCAACAAACACCCCAAGGAGCCGCATAGACCTCTGAATAAGCCTGTCCAGCTCTTTGATACAATACTTGCATTATAACACCCCTCCCCAATATGTATGTGTAAATTAAGATTGCCCTTGTTTTGTTCTTGCCGAGGGAAGGAAGTGCATGCATATCTTGCATGTATGTCTGTATACATGCACACTCTTCCTTCTCTTGGCAAGAACAAAACAAGGGCAATATCTATCTACACATACATATTGGGGAGGGGTGTTACTATGCAACAAGGGCAACATTTGAGGAAAGGAACCTCCCCAGCATCTTCTTTTTCTCTCCCCCCCCCACCTCTCTAAAGTGGGGGTGCCATGAAATAGGGCTCGGCGTCCTTTTCAGAAGGAAGAAGGAGGCCATGCATGTTGCCCACAAAACGCCAGCAGTATCCATGTGCCACCGACAGCGGAGAGAGCTGCTAGAGTGCAGGAAATGCCGATGGCCAGAGCCTACAAAGAGGAGAGGAAAGGGGGGGGGGCGGAGAGGGGGTAGGCAAGTAGAAGAGGCATCGGGGTGCAGGATGTCTGCGTGTCAGAAGGCAAGGCAAGGGAAAGAGGGCCTCAGGGAAGCAGCGGGGGCTGCATGCAGGCATGCACTAGGGTGCCATCGCCCTTAATTCAATCTCCAGCTTGACCATCTCAACCTGGTCCTTACAGAGTTTCCTATGGAGTCAGGCCTAAAAGACAGCTTCTTTCGACTTTGTGCCGGTTGAGAGCCAGTGTAAATTTAGAGATAACCTAAGGCCCTTCCACACAGCCCTATATTCAGAATATCAAGGCATAAAATCCCACATTATCTGTGTGGACTCAGATATTCCAGTTCAAAGCAGATATTGTGGAATGTCCTGCCTTGATATACTGAGATAGAGGGCTGTGTGGAAGGGCCCTTATTTGTACTGAATTGAGACGTCCACGGAAAGAGGTGGAGCAGAACGAGGAAGGAAAGAAGAGGATTTTTTGTAGGGAGGGAATAGTCCTTCTCTTCAGTTACCATCTCTTCCTCCCCTCATTTTGTACATACTTCTTTCCTAACGCCTGACCTGAGAGCCCTCAAGGAGTAGTTAGGTTTTGAAGGACGTGACAGTACCCTTGGAGCCTACCCAAGCTATGTTTTCAGAAGGGAATGAAAGGAATCTCCTTTGAGGATCACGTTGATTCCACTTCCCATCTTACCCATTCACCACCCTTTCCATGTGGCCCACGATAATGGCACCTCTTTTGCCCCCGTCTCCTGCAAAGTGGGTGCAAACCTACTCCGGATATAAACGAGATATTTCCTTCTTCCTTCCTTCCTTTCCCCTCCTTCTTAACCCAGCAACCGTTGCCAAACCTTGAGGCACCTTCCAAAGTGAGAAGCTACTGGGAATGTGTACCAGTTCTTGAGAGGAGAAGGACAAGGGACTTGGTCTTCTGCTTGTTATAGACAGGTGTGATGTGGTGTGTGTGTGAGAGAGTGCCTACACGTGCATATACAACACAGCGCCTTTGTCATCATCCGCTTTCTTAGTTTTCTGGCCGGGGAAGAAAACTGGCAGCCAGAATGGTTCTATTGGTTAGATGGCAATGGCAGCCACTGGCGAAATTGGCGGGAAAGTTGCTGCTCCTGCAGAGAGGCCTGTGCCCCCAAAGGGCGGCGTGCCTCCTCCCCTCTTTCCCTCATTATCGGCTTCCCTCCTCCCCCTCCCTCTGTGGCCCATATTTCTTTATGAGATGCTCATTTGAATCCCCCTTCCTCCTCCTCCTTCGGCTCCTCCCCTCCAGCCTCCCATCTCCCGCAGACACGCAACTCCCACCACAGGATCCGTGGACCTCTCAGGACACACCTACAGCCCACGCTCAGCTTCCCCCAGAGCACAACCACGCGGGGGGGGGGGAAGTGTCCTCCCTCGCCAAGCCGAATGCCTTTCTTCCAAGGCCCTCAGTCCTCCTTGGAGCCCCCACCCCCTCGTGACACTGTCCCCACAATTTCATCTTCCTCTGTGGACTCACAGAACTCCACAAGGGACCATTACGTAGCGAGTAGGCTACTTTATGTCCTATTCATTGCAAAACGCTTCGAGGTTGCTGGCACTGTACACGTGTACACTMCCCACGGAATCTTCCTCGCGTTAAACACCCCGCGCTCTCTTCTGCAAAGCAAGCCTCGTTATAGCCCCTTCCTTCTTCCAGTTTTCTGAGAATTACTCGCCCTGCAAAACCCCTCCTGGGTCGAAAACGTCCCGCGCGATTTACTTTAACTTAAAAGCACGAAGCGAACACGCATCGAAGTGGAAGGAACAGAAAAGGCAAGGCAGGCGGTCAAGGAGCGCCCTGCCTTGCTGCTCAAGAGCAGTTCACGAGTTTACAAGCCCCCCCCCCCCCCAAAAAAAAAGAAGAAAAAAGAAGAAGAAGCAAGGAACTCATTAAGAAGAGGAGGAGGATAAGCAGCCACAGTACAGAACCAGCAAACTTGGTTGTCTGAAAACAGATAAGAAAAAAATAAATAGAGGGAGCTATAGAAGCGTCCTTGTTCTTTGCAAGCAAACGTTTCTAAACAGCAAGGAAAAAAAAAACCCCAAAGTAAGAGGCAGCCTCTTAAAGGATAGTCAGTCACTTTAGAAAAGAAGGAAGGAAGGAAAAAAGAAAGAAAGAAAAGGGAATCCATACAAAACGTCTCTTCTTGGAAGCATAGGGAAAATGTAGCCCTTGCTCCCGTCTAGGCTAGACATTTCTAATTTGTTCCGTCTGTCAGAAGAGGACCAGGAGAGGGTTTGGTGCAAATTCATTATCTCTGGCAACGCATAACATATATCAGGAACTGAAAAAGACCGTGGCAATGGGCGAACAATAGGGCTTCAGTTTGCGAGCAACAAAAGCGTTGGGGAAACTGGTTGACTTTCAGAGCACGTCCTCCTTCCCAGAGAGGGCTGGGCTAGACCTCGGCCGGCCCCCCTCTCCCTCCCTCCCCCCGCCCTCCCCGCCTCCCTCCCTCCCTCCTCCCGCCCCCCAAAAAACTTGCCGAGAGACTCACAGTGAAGACTTCACTTTCTAGCCGGGAGCTCTGCGCGCCCTGCATTTGGCCAGACCAGTGTGCGCGCCTTCGAAACGTCCTCTCGCTTTGCTTTTCTTTTAATTTTTTGTTGGAGGCAAGGATTCATTTTAGAATCAGTCCTGCGAGGACTCATCCATGGAACTAAAACGCCAGCCACTTCTCAAGAGAGAGCACGGCATGGATGATCCGAAGCATGGGAGACTTTGAGACTGCTTTTAAAAAAGCAGTGTTTTTAAAAGGACCCTTTTTCCCCTCCCCACTAAGTTTGGTTTCCAGCCGAAGATCAGCTCTCTCCCTAGAGTCTTTTTCTCCCCTTCTCCCTTTCCCTCTCGCCCATCGCTCGCTCGCTCCTCGGAATGAGAAAGAAGTGGGAAAAGTAAGTATGCCTGTGGACTTTTTAGGATCAATGCTTTTGTAAACCAGAGTAGAAAAGGAAGGCGGAGGCCGAGAAAGGATGGACTTGGTGAGAACTTTGTGCTAGTGCTGTTCTCGCAAGACGCGTTTCCCTCTGAACGTGAACTCTATCAGTGTCTGTGTCAGGTTCAGGGCAGGAGAGATTGGGGGGGGGGGGGGGGGAAGAAGGAGAAAGAGAAAATGCTTCCCACTGAACAGGTTGCATTGTTAGAACCTCCACTTTCTTCCAACGGAGGATGGAAAGGAAGGCCCCATTCAGAGGTGTGGGGCGCTTTATGAATTAACTCGAAAGATTCTGATTGTTAGCAAAAGAGTTTGGATCTGTGTTGGGAAACTTGATGGCCGTGCAAAAGCTGCCTCGGGATTAATTCGTATGCAGAGGGGCAGCAAAAGGAGGGAATCGTAGGACCCTTCCGCACAGCCATGTAACTCAGAATATCAAGGCAGAAAATCTCACAATATCTGCTTTGAACTGGGTTATCTGAGGCCACACTGCCATATATCCCAGTTCAAAGCAGAAAATGTGGTATTTTATTCGGCTGTGTGGAAGGGGTAAAGTTTGAGAAGAAAGTAACCGGCAACTAATAATAACAACACCTCCAAGAGTGCCCCGTGTATGCCTGTTTTTCCAAGAAGGGTGAGAGGGAGTTTCTTGTAATATTTTTCATATCGGCCTCGGGAATTTGATACCTGCTCTTGTATTAAAGGATGTATTTCTTGGTAGACGTTTTTAAGGCTGGAAAGGAGAATTGCTGCGGTTCCCACGGATTTCAATTGGAGACAGCAGCCCTTTCTGTCACTTCCAATGGGCAGTTCGACTGATGAAAACATGTGCAATTGTTCTTCGGTTTTAAAAATATTTCCTTTGCTGGGCTGGTTGAGACTCAGGGCCCTTCCACACAGCCATATAACCCAGAATATCAAGGCGGAAATTCGGCAACTAATAATAACAACACTTCAAAGAGTGCCAGATGTATGCCTGTCTTTCCAAGAAGAGTGGGGAGGGAGTTTCTCGCAATACCCAATTCTGATTTGAACTGGGTATTTATTTATTTATTTGTTTGTTTGTTTGTTTATTTATAGTATAAGACGTGAACCAAGGGTACAGATGTATTGTATTTAAAAAACACAAAGTTGAAAAACTTGGCATTCTATTAAATGTCCTTTGACCAGTAGCTGGCCACTTGCAGTGCCTCTGGTGTTGCTGTAAGGAGGTCCTCCATTGTGCATGTTGCAGGGCTCAGACTGTATTGTAATAGGTGGTCTGTAGTTTGCTTTTCTCCAGATAACTTCAGATAACTGGGTTATCCGAGTCTACACTGCCATATATCCCAGTTCAAAGGTGATAATGTGGGGTTTTATTCAGCTGTGTTGAAGGGGGCTTTATTTTAAAGTGAAGTGCAGAGGAAGGTGCCTTTGCCACCTTGGTGCAGGTCGACCTGTTTACCTTGCCATTGTTTGCAGGGGTTGCTTTTGCAAACCGCTTGGAAGGTGTAGCATCCCATCATCTCCTGCTGAAAATAGTGGGCGGTGTTCCCATTGAGCTTCTTAGTTCTGAAATGGGACTTTCAGGTTTCTGTTTCGAGGATGCTTGCGAGGCTCCTTCGAAAGCCCTGACACATAGGACAGTTTCGAAGAGCTCTGTGTGAACGTGAGTTAAGCCGATTGAACATTGGGATTTACCCCATGTTTTTAGTCGTTGTTAGATTTGGGTCAAACCCATCCTCCGTCCCTCCCTCCCTCCCCAACTGCGTTGTAAATCGGCCTAACCTGCCCTCTCCAAGGTGCTCAGTTTAACGTGGGGTTTGTCAAGGTCTCTGGGCCTTTCAGAAACCGAAGACTACTACCGCACAGGTTGCTGTGGAAGCCGAGCCACAAGGCCTGTGTAATTTCCCTCCACGTTGTCTCCTCCCACCTCGAATACTACTCATTATAAACGCACCCAGGCTGTGAGTTGCAGCAGGAAGCAAAGGCCAGGGTGATGCATTTATGCCATGGGATTCATTTTTTTTTCAAAAGCCACACAAGGTGGGGGTGATGGAGAAGGGTGAAATTAGAATCACTGTAGATCAATGAAATTAGAATATAGATAGATAGATAGATAGATAGAGTGTGTGTGTGAGAGAGAAAGAGTAACTATATATTATATTGTTATATAATATAATATAATATAAATATTATATAATATATAATATATGTGTTATATGGTTACTATATATTATATTGTGTATGTGTGTGTGTGTATATATATATATATATATATATATATATATATATATATATATATATATATATATCCTGTATATTGTTACAATTTAGTACTAAACCATGGGTATAGCAGGAGATTGTATTAAAAGTGCTACTGGTGGGGAGCTTCTGTTATAGTAAATCGGAGACAAACTTGTCTTTTCAAAGAGGAGCGACTGAAGAGGGGAGAGCTTTTTGCATATTTTCCAAGTGGAGGCTAGGTGGAGACTTCGACCTTCATTAAGGAGCCAGCAGGCCAATCTCCACGCCTCGGCCTTGCCAGCCTCCCAGCCAGCAACTCAGCCCAGTCTTGCAATACTCTCCGTTTGAAAATTCACTCTCCTCTTGCTCATCTTCTGGGCATTATGCCTCGAGTTTACTCTCGAGGACTCTATTGACATTCCAAGAAAAACTATTAACTCTTGAGATGACAGATGACCCACCTCCCGAATTTTTTTGAATGCTGGATCGTCTTTTTTTTTTTTTTGGTCTAATTTTAGTTATCTAGCCATGAAACACAATTTATCGGAAACTTATGCAGGACCCCATGGAAATGAATGAGGGCAGTGCTCATTCACTCCATTCATTTCCACTGAGAATTCACAGTTGAATTTCCTGGAGATGGAACCTCTAGGATTCAATTCACAACTATTTGTTGGTGCCAGTGCTATTGTTGTTGTTTTCTTATGAGTTTCTCTTGCTATTTGCTGCTTTAACACATGTATTTTCTCCCTCCAGCAAACGTGAATGGTTATTATTTTAATAATCACTCCCCTTCTCCTTTTGTGGTCTATTTTTCAGAGGCAGAAATCCAGAGGTCATCATTAGATGTGACAACCACAAACAAAAAAGGTAATTTTATATAAATATAACAGATCGAACCTAATATAGAAATTCGACCGCAGTTAACAGCTACGGAAACAAACCTAGCCCTATACTTGTCTTTTGGAAGCGTTTTCAAAATGGATATCTCTAGGAATATTGTATAATGTCTTCAGTCCTTTCTATGCCATGATCTGTGACAGTGGTGCTGAAAGAGGGACCTGTGTATTGTGTTGTCGAAAGCTTTCATGGCCGGTATCACTGGGTTGCTGTGAGTTTTCCGGGCTGCATGGCCATGTTCCAGAAGCATTCTCTCCTGACGTTTCACCCACAACTATGGCAGACATCCCCACAACCCCCGAAGATGCCTGCCATAGATGTGAGTGAAACGTCAGAAATCCTACCCGGAATCATTGGTTTGTTGTGAGTTTTCCGGGCTGTATGGCCATGTTCCAGAAGCATTCGCTCCTGACGTTTCATCCACATCTATGGCAGACATTCCCACAACCTCTAAGGATGCCTGCCACAGATGTGGGTGAAATGTCAGGACAGATAGAGTGTGTGTGAGAGAGAGAAAGAGTAACTGCCCGGAAAACTGACAGCAACCGACCTGTTTATTGCTTGTAGAAAAAAAACAAGAAAAAAAACCAACAAAAAACAGAAGACACAGAAAAGCATGGCATTTTTATTTAAAGGACCCTCCCCCCAAAGAACAACCAAACAGAATAACTCTTTCTAGACTATTGAAATACAGTTGCACAAGGATTGCCTTGATTCTAGGACTAGATTGTGGTTTATATCAGAATGATACAGAAACCCCAGAGGAGGGAAAGAAGAGGGAGAGTAGGAATGGGAAGAGATAACCCGTAATATACTTCCCATGAGTTTGGGCAGGCTTCCTACCTAAATATAACCCTTGAATACTATTAGTGTTTAGGAAGCTGGAACAGCCCCCCCCCCCCCCAAAAAAAAATCCAAACAAACCAGGTATAGCTACCAAGATTTAGACATCTTCCACACAGTTGAATAACATCTCACATTATCTGCTTTGAACTGGAATATATGGCAGTGTGGACTGGGATAACCCAGTTCAAAGCAGATATTGTGGGATTTTATTCCTTGATATTCTATATAATAAAGCTGTTTGGAAGTTCCCCTATGCTCCTATCCCTGGTAAACAGGGCTTGTTTATGTCAAAGCAATCCTTTGTAGAATGCCTCGACTTTACATCACAACCCAACCATCTGGAGGCACATAAAGAGATTTTAAAAACAAGCATGGCAATCACATCCACATCTAGGGGCCATTAGTGGATGTTTATTAGAGGGAGGAACAAGGCATGTATAGGATTCGGGATGTTTCAACAGTACATGTTGCTTTAAGAAAGGGATTCTATTATTCTCAGTGAAAGGTCAGTCTATATAGTAGGCATGGACAAATTTAGGTCTTCCAGGTGTTTGGGACTTTAACTCCCACAATTCCTTACAGCCTCAGGTCCTCTAAGTGGCTGAGGGGGAATAAAAAGGGGCCTGAGGCTGTTAGGAATTATGGGAGTTGAAGTCCAAAACACGTGAAAGGCCGAACTTTGCAAATACCTGCATCCTATCATCTATATATGTAAGTATGCATCTTCCTATCTAGGTTAAGTTTACTAGTAGGATCACTGAGGAGGGAGAAACACCCACCAACATCAAGGTAGTGTGAGGAACAATTGTTCTTGGGAAGCTGTACCTACATTATGAAAGGCCTTACAGCACATTGTTTTTATTTAGCTAAATGCCAAAGCACAAACGGGGAAGCACAAGGGACGTGTTAGACTGAGGAAGCAATGATGTCTAGGGAGATGCCTTGTGCTTCCTACTCTAATACCTCGACTGAAAGCATCCCTAATTTTTTTTAAAAACCCCCACTGGAATCAATTGGCTGTCTTCTGTGGGCATTTGAATGGGATCATGCCCATGATCTGTGGGCATGTGTGGTGCTTCCAGAGTCCTGCAAAACCAAGGGAGACGCTGAGGTAGAATCAGCAAGGTCATAATCGTGACACTAGTTGTTTTCACGTCACGAGGCTTAGAGGATATCGATCCATAGAATGGCACAGGTGTCCCCAGCCATTGCTTGAACTGCAGTATGAGGGAAGTTATCTCTCCAAGAGGCTTGACTTGCAAAACAGAGAAGATTTGGCCTTGAAGATCCAATCCACTTGCAGGATGCACCAGGCAGATAGTCGCCAAAGCCCTATTGATGTCAATAGAACAGAAAGGCAACCAAGTCAAGAGCCATAATTATTTTGAATAGGTGCAAATATATGTACACATGTGTTTGTATGCCAATATGTATGCTCTTTTATATAGGACTATGGTAATCTAGAGATGTACATATCTAGCCACATGTTCTCTGAATGTTCTTGTCCCTGATTTTAATGCATCAGCTCACAAGCCTGGTCTGTGTAATACATGCCCCATCACTCGCACTGCTGCCTCTAGCTATTGCAAAAATAGCCAGGGCTGGGAGGGGGAAGCTTTGTTTCTCAGGATCTGGCAATTCAGAGCAGCTCATTAGAGTCCTATACGCTATCAACATGGTCATATGTCCTTATACATATTGTTGCTCGGCTCACCAAAGCCACTGTAGTTGTGCTGCCTTAGATGACCAAAAACAAACAAAAACAAACAGACAAACAAACAGCAGCCTCTCTGTTCATAGGAATTTTCTCCATTTTGTTTGGCATATGGAAAAATACAGGCATGGCCATAGCATGTAGTGTTATATAACATGGCACTGATGTCATAAGTCAGGTTCAGCTCAGACGATGGCATTTTATGATGAGCATAATTAACAATATTAAAAGGGCATTCAATTAAAAATCAGCTGTGGTGTGATTACATTGTCAGTTGTGAAGGTATTATTTGGAACATTTATAGGTAAGGTCAAAGGAGATAGCATTTTAATCCATTCATGGAAAGCATTGTCTTGTCAGTCTTTCTTTTTACAGTTCTTTTAGCTATATGCCTGCCAATGTCAATTTTTAGCCAGCAATTAAACTGGGAGCTATTTTTCTACCCTATACATGCCTCTCTCTATATATTTTAGCCTTGATTGGGAATATCTTGCAACCTTGTGAGGACTGTAGGCAGATGCCTTTTTTCCATGTATGCATAATGTAAACACTTGAAGATGGTGGTGATGACTGGTTGTGATACATAGCTCAATGGTAGATAGATACCTATGTACTAATGCAGCCAATATTTGTCCACCTGCAAGAGGAAAGTGCTAAGCTATGCAGATATAAGGCAGGGTAGGAAATGTGCCTGTTTAGATCCACTCTGCAATATGGGCTCTAAACCACATTGCCTTATTGGACTGTATGTGTGGTGTGCTTTGTTTTATTTCACTCCTAAAAGGAGTGGCAACAGCAGGGCTTCTGATGCCTTTACGAGGGTAGGGATAGGCTCTCCTGGATTTTAAAATATGCCTCTTTTATTAACTGCACCTTGAACGCCCGTGAAGTGCATTTATTAATTTGAATAGTAAACACCTCGGATCTCTACCGTAAGATTCATTGGTGCCCATATAATCAAGAGAGGCCTTAATGTTTGCACTTTACACTGGGGAAAAATACTACTCCCAAACACGCTGCTAAATAATTCACAGGGTAATGTCCCTCCCTCTCCCCCCCCCCTTTGTTTTCTTTCTTTTTGGAGGCTAAGGGGAAAGGAAAAAGCGAGGGCTGAGGCTGCAGAGAAAGAAGGGGCTTGAACCATCGAGGAGGCAACCCTTCCTTGACCAGCTTCTTGAGCTGGGAGGCATGGCTCGCTTTTAGCCTCGGCAGGAAGTTTGACAACCAACCCAGTGGGCACCTGGGCTTTATCTAAACACCCAGAGAAGCAATGAATGGGCTCACGGGCGCTCGGGGCCTCCTCTCTCCGTAGGCAGGCAGGCAGGCAGGCAGGGAAAGAAAGAAAGAAAGAGAGCCGCATGTTTCCCCGCGTTTGTATTATAAGGGTAAGGGGAGAGTAAGAAGAGACAAGTGGATAGGGCTAAAGAGATAGAGGAGAAAGGTAGGAAACAGCTAGAAAAAGAAAGTGTTTTGCAGCTTTCCCAGTGAACAAAACTGTGTTGCACCATCGCTATGGTGGAAGCGAGCACTGGCACAGAAAGTGGGGAAGGTGAGGAGGGGGGAGGCTTATAATCTTCACCAGTTGGCAGGAGGGAGAACAGTGAAGCCATTTAGGAAGGAGGGAGGAGGAGGGAGGAAGGAAGGAAGGAAAGAAAGAAGAGGGAAGGAAGGAAAGAAGAGAGAAGGAAGGAGGAAGGAAGAGGGAAGGAAGGAAGGGGAGAGGAAAGAAGGAGGAAAGAAGAAAGGAAAGAAGGAAGGAAGGAAGGGGGAAGGAAGAAAGGAGGTGGTGGTGATGGAGGAGAGAGCGAATTATCAATGCAATTACACCTCAAGCAAGCCTCGTTGCTGCGTAATAATACCCAGGCAGCCTTGGGTCTCCTTGGCCTTCCCAGTCCCAGGAAGCAAGGCCCTGCTCGATGCAAGAGCGAGGATGGGGAGCGCCTCTTTCCAGCACACATCCCCGACCATAAGCGCCCCCCCCCCCTCTTGCCGAGGCTGCTGTCAGGGGAGAAACGCAGGCAAAGACGCCTTGCCTCGCCCCCGCCACCGCATACACACACACTCACCAACCAGCCCCCCCCCCATCCAAAACGCTTTTATCTGCCCTTAGAGAGAGATTCCTTCCATTCTTTTGGATAGCAGAGCGATCTGCGTTCGCAAGGTAAAAGGCCGCGGGTGGAGATATAGAGATATAGATAGCTAGGTCTACCGATTCAGCCCTTGCTCCCCGCCCCCCCTCCTTCCCCTTCTTCTTCTTCCTCCTCCTCCCGGGAGCGCTGGAGAAGGCGAGGGTGCCTTTGGTGGCGGGGAGAGGCCAGCCAGACAGTTCGCCCGCCCGCCCTGGGTCCCCAGCTGCTTGGCCTGGCTTGGCTGCCGCCGAGGGCGCGGAGGGGCCAGACTGCCCCTCGCTCATGCATATCAATAGAAACGAGGTGCACTTGAGCTCGCTCGTGACATCATCATTACCTTGGCCCCCCCCCCCCCCCGCGGTCTGGCACCTCTGACCTTGCCCGGCTGCTCGTCCACATTTTTGGGTTGTTGTTTTGGGTGTCTTTTTTATAGTCCGTTTTCTCTTTCTTTCAGACTGGGGGCGGCAGCAGCAGCAGCAGCGTTAACAGCAGCAGCAAGCCAAGCCAGCCTAGACCTGCAGCTCGGGAAAGCCTGCGATTCGAAGAAGGCACACCGAGGAGAGGACCTGCCAGGCTGCTTCCTCCCTTCTCCAGCGCTAGCAACCCACCCCCAAATCCGCAAGATAGATGCTGCCACCATTTGGTTAAAATAAGAATTATTATTAATTATATATTTTTTAAAAATGCGCTCTGATGTCTAATCCAAAAGGATGAGAAGGGAAGAGCTGGATCTTCGCATCTCCAGGGCTGGCTAGCGAGGCCATCACTTTCCTGTGAGTTCCTCTGGAATGGGATTCCCCTCCCTCCTTCCCTCCTCTCCTTCTCCTCCTCCTCCTCTTCTTCGCTGTTGGCTTTACATCTTAGAGGTGAAAGACTCTTTCCTTCAGCACGACGCATTTCCCAATGCAAAAGAGAGGCCTGTGGAAGGATGGATGGATGCTTCACAGCTTGATACACCTCAATAGCTGGTTTTATTTCCTGATATGAACAGATGAACAATTGGTCCATTGCTGCTAGACATCCCTTGCTTGAAAGGAGAGAGGGGCAAAGAGAGAGAGAGAGAGAGAGAGAGAGAGGGAAAAGTTCGGAGTAAAACTTTGAAGGCAACCGATCTGCTTGGGATGTGTTTCAGAAGCACACACCAATACCGTGGCGTTGCAAGGATGCCCCTTTTAAGACCCGCCTGGTGCCCTCGAAGGAAAAAGTACCTTTGCAGAAGCAACCTGGATTCTAGCAAGGAGGGGGCCCGAAGAAGTCACCCCCCAACCCATCCGACTTCACACGAAGGAAGCGAGTTGTTATCTTTGGTTATCTAGCTGTATGAGTGTGTTGGTCTTCATAAAGCTAGATAACCGAAAGTAAAAACTCCTTCAAGATCTTCAGTGCTGCACAAAGAAGAGAGAGAGAAAGAGAGAGAGAGAAAGAGAGGCTCCCAGCAAAGGACAATACCGAGCCAGCCGGGGCAGGAATGCGCCCTCCATGAATGGCCCCTTCCTGCAGCTCAAGGAAAGAGAGAGAGAGAGAGAGAAAGGAGGAAACTGAATGACATACGGGTGCCAAATATGTGGGTATGCATATATAAGCGTGCATATATAGATAACCAGGCACAGGATGATGATGATGATGATGATGATGAAGAATAAGCCCTGCGCGGCAAAGAGAGGATGTGGTGCTCATGGTAAACAAATGCATGTGCAAGTTTTATTGCTGTTCTGCCGGGAGGGGGTGGGAAGTTAATGCTTTGCCTTGTGATGTTGTTGCTCAGAGCAATCCTACACACAGCTGTTCAGAAGTAAGTTCTTGTGAGTTCAGGGAGACTTACTCCTAAGGAGCTGTGTCCTGGATGGCAGCCTTGGATGGACATTTTAGGCACTGTTTACATTCCCCTCTGCCCTTTGGAGGCTTGAATTGAACCATTTAAGGTGTGTCTCTCTCTGTGTGTATCCTTCAGCAACAGAATGTGATGAACTCTTGTCTGGGAAGGGCCTTTCAAAGTATTGTCATGGCCGGAATCGCTGGATTGTTGTGAGTTTTCCGGGTTGTATAGCTATGTTCCAGAAGCATTCTCTCCTGGCGTTTCGCCTGCATCCCCAGAGGTTGTGAGACTCCACAACCTCTGAGGATACTGTTCCAGAAGCACTCTCTCCTGACGTTTCTCCTGCATCTATGGCAGGCATCCTCAGAGGCCCCACAACCTCTGAGGATACTGTTCCAGAAGCATTCTCTCCTGACGTTTCTCTTGCATCTATGGCAGGCATCCCCAGAGGTTATGAGGTTTGTTGGAAACTAGGAAAATGCTTCCAACAAACCTCAAAACTCTGAGGATTTCCTAGTTTCCAACAGACCTCACAACTCTGAGGATGCCTGTCATAGATGCAGGCAAAACGTCAGGAGATAATGCTTCTGGAACATGGCCATACAGCCCTGAAAACTCACAACAAACCAGCCTTTCCAGTGTTGGGAGGCTGAGAATGTTATTTCCAGGGGTCAGAGGTAAAGTGCACAAGAAGTGAGAGTAAAATAAAACAAAACAAAACAAACTTTGCATTGAAGAGTAAGGCTGGGTTATTAATGTTTATCTTCTGAAGGTTTGGTGAATTTTCATAACATGGGGACGGGGAGGGGGAGGTGATGAGTGATGGAAAAAAAGTGGAGAGAGAGAGAGCGAGAGAGAGAGAGAAGGGGGGAGGAAAGGAAACCCGTTTTCTATTCAAAATGCAAGCATAGATGCTTCTCTGTTCCGAGAGGGTTTCCTTGAGGAAGCTACTGAAGCAGAAAGACGTGATGGAGACGAGCGGGCCTCCCCCCTCCCTTGTCAAAATGTTAGAAAAGCAGCCTGTGTCTTCTTCGGCGGGGCTAGCATTGGAAATGAAAGTGACATTTCCTTCCAAACCCACGTGCGCGCCTCCTCGCTCCTTGTGTTTTCAGGATGATCAGATCTATCCAGGAAACTGCTCTGGCATCCCAAACAGAAATAATTAGGACGTATAGAGAGGGAGACCTGGCCGGGGAGAGAAAGGGAGAGGGGAAGGGGAGGGGAGGGGTGGGCCCGTCGGAGGGGTCTGGTCTTGCCTAATTGATTCCGTTAAACGGAATGCCTGAGATGTGAACGGCTGGACGCTCCCATTCCCACGCTCGGGGCAAGTGGCGATGCGATGGCCCGGCAGCCTATGACAGACAGCCCTGTTGGGGGTTGCCCTCGGAGAAGGGGAAGGGGGGCAGCCTCAAGTGCGCCACACCAGGCTCATCTCCATCCCTTAAGAAAGTGCAGGCATTTCCCACCCACAGCCATCTGCAGGCTCCCAAGTGGGCATCCCAACTGTTCCTGGAGCTGCAGACTGTCTGCTTCTGTTCATTCTGTCACCACCGTTCCAGCAACTCATAATCATGATGATAATAATAAAAAGGTTTCTTTACTGCTGGGGACAGCCCAGCTCACAAAAGAGAAAAAGGCAAAGAACTGGCTATGCCTGTCTGAGACAAATGGCTCAGGCCTGGCATACATAACAGACATGCACACAATGTTTATAGAGAAGCTGTCATTGTCATTGTTCAGGTTGGGTAGTGTACTTTGTAAGCCCTTCCACACAGCCCTATATCCCAGAATATCAAGGCAGAAAATCCCACATTATCTGCTTTGAATTGGGTTATCTGACTCCACACTTAGATAATGTGGGATTTTCTGCCTTGACATTCTGGAATATAGGGTTGTGTGGAAGGGCCCTGAGTGTGGATTCAGATAACCCAGTTCAAAGCAGATATTGTGGGATTTTCTGCTTTGATATTCTGGGATATAAGGCTGCATGGAAGGGCCCTGACTGTGTATGTGCAACGTAAAATGTAAAGGAGCTGGATTTGAAAATGCACTTTTTGGCTCCTTCCACACAGCTGAATAAAATCCCACATTTTCTGCTTTGAACTGGGATATATGGCAGTATGGACTTAGATAACCCAGAGCCCTTTCGCACAGCCCTCTGTCCCAGAATATCAAGGCAGAAAATCCCACATTATCTGAGTGTGGACTCAGATAACCTAGTTCAAAGCTGATATTGTGAGATTTCCTGCCTAGATATTCTGGGTTACATGGCTATGTGGAAGGGCCCCAAATCCTAAGGATGTTTTTGCCCTATACCACAAAAATAAGAACACAAACAGTTCCACTTCTCCCTGATACATGTTAGTACCCCACTAATAGGAAGCACTCAAAAGGGACATGCATTTAGTTCAGTAAGATATGTTCCTGAATTCCCATAATAATGTTATCCCAGTATATTGACTTGATTTAAGATCTCCCAGGATCCTTCCACACAGCCTTATATCCCAGAATATCAAGGCAGAAAATCTCACAATATCAGCATTGAACTGGGTTATCTGAGTCCACATTCAGATAATGTATGATTTTCTGCCTTGATATTCTGGGGGCCCTTCCACAGCCCTATATCCCAGAATAACAAGGCATAAAATCCCATATTATCTGAATGTGGACTCAGATAACTCAGTTTAAAGCAGATATTTTGGGATTTTCTTCCTTGGTATTCTGGGATATAGGACTGTGTGGAAGGACCCCCAGTGAACTGGTTGCTAACATGGAAATATATATCAAATATATTTCCTTTGTGTTTGTTTGTGTGTGAGAGAGAAAGAGATAAATAAGTTGCCAGGAATGGAGTGCACTTTCCATTTCTTAAAAAATAAATAAATAAAACCCTAATCTATGATGGGTTGCAAGTAAGGTAACCAAGTAAGGCCTGCAGACAGAAAGGATTTTGCAGGAGTCTAACTTCCTATAGTTTGCTCTGAATTTAGCTTGATTTGTGGGAATACTCTGTTGACTAAAGAAAGGGCTGGATTTTCCACTGCTGTGCACGTGCCAGGGTTTACTACTGTAGTGGCCAATGAACAGTCCCCTTGTTTATTTCCTTTAGAAGTTCTGTTTGTGAGCCCAACCTTTCATTGTTAAGGGCCTTCTGCTTTTGCTTTACTGCATGTCCAGTGGTGCTGTTTACCTAGAGCCATTGTCTACTACAATTAACATTTACATTACAAAGTGCATGGGTTTTCTTTCTCAAAGAGGTTCAATTAAGGCAATAAGCTGTTTTCTGGGGGTGTTCTTTTGTTTAGTGCACAACAGTCAATAGAGTGGACTTGCTTTTACTTTGCCAAATGAACTCTTGCTTATATTTTGATCTCTTCTGTACATTTATGAAGGAAAGCACTTGAGGATTTCCCCCCCTTTCTGATATTATACTTCTGTGTTAGCCATTGTCACTTCAGAATTGTTTTGTACCATGCTAATGTTACATGAGTATCAATCAATAAAATGCATTTCAATGTTATTTTATTATTATTTATTTATCTTTCACCGATTTGACACAAATTAGGTTTTTTCTTTCCTTTTTAAGTTTTATCCCATGTCCTTTCAACATCTAAAGATTGTGAGGTCATTTTAAATATAATAGATTTCATTAAATTTGTGTTTGAAAATCTTTCCACCAAGACAAAAAAGTTTGGGATAGTAATACTAATAAGGTGCTATATCTTTAGAGCTTGAAATAGCCTGCCAACACAAAGCTGGGTCAAAGAAGTATAAATATAATCTGAGTAGCCCTTTGAGGGCTAGCTTTAGCATTGGGAGACCCCCAGATCAAGTTTATTTAGCATACCATTGCATTGTAAAACAGTTGGAGTGAAGTTGCAGGGTTGCGTGAGTATGCATGTTAACTAGTGGGAACCAAGTCCCATTCCTTTTGAAAGGGGAGCAGCAGATTGCTGTGCAAGGCCAATGTTAAAAAGGCAGCTGAATTTAACACCATCTGGAAGAAAAGATCCCTTCACGACTTTCTCACACCGTCAGACAAAACTAGTGTCTCTTGTTCTGAGCCCTTGTCTATGCGGCCATACAATACTGAGTCATTATACTTTTGCTGAGAGAAAATTTGAGAACACAATATGGGGAACCAGTGAATGACCAAGTTTCATTGTGCCCGCTTAAGTCGATTGAAACCTACGTCTAGAGCCATGAATGGCGGCATTGTTTTCCTCACTGGGGCTATGCTAAATGTCAGCACAGTGTAAAGAAAAACTTGAAGTCTGCAAATAACTTACCAGATCTCAATTATAATATTTTCCCACACTAGAACTAATATCATTGCTAGGCCGCACAATGCACAACATAACAAAAAAAGCAACTAAAAAGTGTTCATTTAAAAGTTATTCCAGGCTAGCAAACTGCCCCCCTCTCCACCCCTCAGTTTAGGAGTTTGAATGGCTGAGGTATGGCTGTGGGTAATCCTCTCTAGAGAAGTTCAAGTTGCAAAACTGCTTCTCCAGGCACCCAGGAAAGAAACAACATCAATAATTTGTTTTCTGAAGAAAACATTTCAAGTGACTAGTGTCACAGCCATGTCACCCTAGCAAGTTCGCAATGCTTAATTCTTCTCTTTACTACTTTTTAGTGCTGCTGCCCTGTGAATTTCAATGAGTTTGAGCTTGACAAAACACCACAGTGAGAGAGGGCTTTCAGGGGGCTCAGGAGAATGATGGGGCCTGTCCATACAGAATTAGGTGCGACAATAGTGCTTCACAATGAATTACTTGGCTTTTAAAAAATTGGTGATGATAACTTATAAAACATCTGAGCAGTTCTGCCTTGGATTTAGTATCCTCAGAATCAAGTGACAGAACAAGAAGCAGATATTAAAAAGGAGTAGCAGTTTTAAAAAAAGTTAGTTAGCAGTTTTTGATGTTTGTTGTCATCTGTTATGTTGCATTTAACTCCTATTCTGATTGTCTATTATTGTCCACTCGGTGTCCTTATATTTCTTTGTTGTCTTAACAAGAAAGTCAAAGCCAACAATCAGCATTTTTGCTGCATATCCCGGCTGTCACCTCTTTGAGTAATAATGGAATAGGAAACAAAGTGAACAATAGAATATTTTAGAAACCCATTGTGTGTGTATTGTTGTTGTTGTGGTAGTTATGTTTTTTTCAGTTTTTTGACAAGACAAAAAAAGTTTCATCACACTAAAGAAAAAATGCACTTAAAATCTGGTTTCTGCAGAATTCTGGGATTTGTAGTTTAGTGAGGCTGTTAAAGGCTCCTCCCCAAACTACATACCCCAAAATTCTACAAGAGGCAGACACTGGATTTTAAGTGGATTTTTTCTCTAGTGTGACAAGGCCCATAAGAATGACCGGTTAAAACTTAATATTACACTGGTTATTTTTGGTGTTACAGCGTAATCCTATACATTCTTACCAGGGAGTAAGTCCAACTGAATGCAGTATAACTTACTTCCAAATAGATATGTATAGGATTATTCTGTTGAAAAATAAATTTTGGTTATTTGGACGAGGATTAAAAAAAACAAACAGATTAAATTCTAAAACCTGCCAGGTACATTGGACTACCAAAAGCACATGATGTTCATAAGGCAACACTGCCACAACTAATTATTGGCACCTGTGCATTTTGGTTCCCAAACAAACATCTCATAAACTCCTTAATGTTATTGTGATGCTGTATCAGTGCTCCTCTGTCAATGTAGTGGTGGAATTACAAGGATGTCATGTCTGTTGTGAAAGTCTGCTCCTCATTTAATTAAAATGGATTGTGAAGGAAGTAGCAAACTGAAAGTAAGAACACTAGTCAGAAAAATAGTCTACTCATACTTCAAAAATGTGTAAACAAACAGATTTTGGATTATTCAAATTGACATGGAGTACATTTTATAACATGGACATATATGCCATCCTTTGTTTATCCACCTCCTCCCTTCTCATTAGTGTTAGCAGAGTACTGTGAAATTTTGAAATCTTATTACACTTCAGTTTTTCAGGCGAGTGAAATATATGGAGGAGACTTTTGTCAATAGATTTTGCCGAAATTGTGGTTTAATCAATAGTACAGATGTTGTTTCCAGTAGCAATTATTTTACAGTCTGGGGTTGGGGACTTAGTAGCACCAAGAGGTTCTTGGATTGAGATAGATATGCAACACAATCCTATCTTTGCTTACTCAGAACTAAATTTTAGTCAAATAGAGGTTACGCATGGAAAAGGGCCTTTCTATTAATTTTATGAGCATTATTAGAATTAGTCAAGCTTAGGTTGAAGTTAAATACCCAGGTGAATTGGCAATGTGTTCCATACTGAAAAACCAACCCTCCTTCCTTCCTTCCTTCCTTCCTTCCTTCCTTCCTTCCTTCCTTCCTTCCTTCCTTCCTTCCTTCCTTCCTTCTTTCCAACCAACATTTAAATTGGATGGGCCTTCCTTAACTCAAAGTTTTTAGTGAATTCAGGATTGGTTAGCTGCAGGCCTTATACAGAGATCCACAGCATAGACCCAGGACCCTGGGAACACACAGCAAAAACCTGTGGGTAGATGCATGGCCTTTCTGCTCCTCTGGATAGCTAAAAGGCAGGAGTGTTTCAGAGAGGAGCAGACCCTTGCTGTGGCTGTTGCTGCTGCTGAGCCTGACTCCATGCTGGTTGTTCGCTAGCACAGTGCAATGTGATCTTACTGCAGCCCTTTATGAGGAAGGCCGAAGACCATTCAGAGCAGAACAGACACCAGGCAGCTGGCCTGCTGGATTCCTGCCGCTTGGTTGTTTAATACCCGGAGGCTACAGGACAAGGAAAGGAGTGGGGAGGCACCTGGAAAGAGGTTCAGAGTGCAGCACAAAAGAGGGGGCAGAAAAAAAAGGAGAGAGAAGCATTTATTTTCATTTAGGAGTTGAGAATATGGGTGCCTCTGCACTGTAGAATGAATACAGTTTGACACCACTTTAACTGCCATGGCTCAATTCTATAGTGTGGTGAAGCACCAGCACTCCTTGGCAGAGAAGGCTTTTACCTTTTACAAACAAAAACTCCCATGATGTCACAGCACTGGCATTTCAAGAGGTGTCAAGCTGCATTTATTCTACAGTGTGGATAAACCCTATGAGCAGGATAGCCAGGATGCTTAATGTGCACAATACATGTCTTTCTCCAGTAGGTTCAGGAGAAAGTACTCTCTGAGTGCATCAATGCAGTTTGACTGCCACAGCTCTATGGAATGAAGGGAGTTGTAGCTGTATCAAAGAGTGCTGGTGCATCACCAAACTACAACCCCCAGGATGCCATAGCAGGGCACCATGGCAATTAAAATGGATGGCAAACTGTATTAATTCTGTAGTGACTTGGGGGTTCATCCACACTGTAGAATTCATGCAATTTGTTCTTGGAGACTAAGGCTCAGAACAAGGGCTTCAAATTACAGGAAATGAGATCCCACCTGCACAGGAGGAAGAACTTCCTAACTGTGAGAGATGTTCAGTAGTGGAACTCTCTGCCCCAGAGCGTGGTGATGGCTCCTTCTTTGGAAGCTTTTAAACAGAGGCTGGATGGCCATCTGTCTGGGATGCTTTGAATGCAATTTTTCTGCTTCTTGGCGGGGGGTTGGACTGTATGGCCAACGAGGTATCTTCCAACTATGATTCCACGACTCTATGACTTTAACTGCCATGGCCCAAGGCTAGGAAACCTCGAATGTGTAGCTTGGTGAGACACCTCACTCTTTGGTAGAAGACCTTGTGAGAACTTCAGCTCCCAGGATTCCATAGCATGGAATCATGGCAGTTCAAAGAGATGCTAAATTGCATTGGTCCTGTAGTGTAGATGCCCCTTTTGACTTAGGAATGGGAGGTCTCGCCCAGGCAAGGGCCTGAGGAAAGAGGCAGCCGCTTTTTGCTGCAATTGCTGCTGCTTTAAGGATCTCCGTAGCAATGGCAGCAACCGGGCCGCTGGGCAGTACCAGGCTGCTGTGTGACAAGCACCAGTTGCCTCCCAGGCGCGAGCTGTGATTGGTGTTTCCCGGGAGACGGGATGGCTGAGCTCCTAGGCTGGCTGGCGCGCGCGCTCTTTCCCTCCCTCCCTCCCTCCTTCCTTCCTTCCTTCCCTCCCTCCTCCTCCTCCTGCTCTTCCTGATGAAGATCCTGCCTCCTTTAGGGCAGCGCAGCATCTCCCCTGTCCTCTGCCTTGTCAGGTTAGTCATGTCAAAGTCCTCCCCATCCTCTCCTCTCTGCCCTCAGGTTGCTGGCCATCTTTCCCCCCCTCCCACCAGCCACTTCCCTTTACAAAGGTTCCTGGTTTTCAAGGAATAAAATCCTTTTTTTTATCCTGGGTTTCTACATATGATTAGCATTCTTAAGGGAAGAGCCAGAAGTATCCCAGCCACCTGCATTGCCTATGGCTAGCTCACAAAAGCTGGGCTCAGGGGCCACTGAGAGGATCCCTAGAATAAATTCCTGGTAGTTGCTGCTCTCCTGCTTTGGGCTTGTGACTCAGGGTGCATCTACACTATAGAATGAATGCAGTTTGACACTGGTTTAACTTCCATGGCTCAATGTGATGGAATCTTGGGAGTTGGGGTTTGGTGAGGCACCAGCACCTCTTTGGCAGAGAAGTCTAAAGACCCAGAGAAGACTATAGTTTCATAGTATTGATTCATGCCAGTTAAAGCGGTGTCAAACGGTATCCATTCTGCAATCTGGACATACCACCCCATGATTCCATAGTATTGTTTCATGCCAGTTAAATTGGTGTCAAACTGTGTTCAGTCTGCAATCTGGACATACAACCCCATGATTCCATAATATTGATTCATGCCAGTTAAAGTGGTGTCAATCTGTAGTCATTCTGCAATCTGAAAATACAACCCCATGATTCCATAGTCTTGATTCATGCCAGTTAAAGTGGTGTCAAACTGTATCCATTCTGAAATCCGGATATACCACCCCATGATTCCATAGTATTGTTTCATGCCAGTTAAATTGATGTCAAACTGTGTTCATTCTTCAATCTGGACACACAACCCCATGATTCCATAGTATTGGTTCATGCAAGTTAAAGTGTTGCCAAACTGCATTCATTCTGCAATGAGAACATACTATCCCATGATTCCATAGTATTGATTCATGCCAGTTAAATTGGTGTCAATCTGTATTCATTCTGCAATATGGACATACCCATAAACTTTATAAAAACCAGCTTCCAGTGCATGAGGAAAATAACACTCATCCCCTTGCCACACACACATTTCTTGGATCCTGGTGCCTCTTTTTTGATGGCATCAAGGCAACCAGGTTCCCGCTACTGTACGGTTCTCACTACTGGCCTGTACAGTTGGAGACTCTGTACAGGCCAGTTGGTAGCTGATCTGTTTTGATGGCAACGATGAGGCTTCTTAATGTAGGATTTGGTGGGTGAACTGTATTTACGTACTGTATAGCCAGCTATGAATCAAGCAAATATCCAGATATTCCTCATCTTTCTATAACAAAAAGTAGCAACACCAATAATAAGACCAGGTCCTTCTTCAAACACAGATGAGAGATTGTGTAAATTGACATGGAGTCAGTCTGGGCATCCTATTGGAATATTTGAATAAAAATATAACATTTAGTTTGGAGACAGGAATTTTGGTTCTCTACTTATATTTTCTAAAACATAAGCCTTTATTCCCTGACATAACTCTCCGAACATTAACCTCTGATGCATTCTTAATTTAAAAAGCCAAAATGCCAGTGCCCCCCTTCCCCTAACACACACACACTCCAAATGAAGTTTTTGGTACCTAGGAGTAGACCTCTTGCTCAGCAATTTGTCATTTAAAATGTTCCATGGAGGCTGCAACACCTGACTCATTATTTCTCTCTCCCACCCCTTCTCTCCTGCCATTATAAAATTACTTCAAATGAGGCTAGATATATCCTTGTTGCTAGGTACAGTATAACTTCTCCAGAGATTTTTTTCTTAAAAAAATAAATCTGTGTCCTAAGTACTTACTAAAGCCAGTTAATAACATCATGCATGGACATTTAAACTTGTTGTAAGTTCCAGAGAGGATTAGAGAGAAATCATGCTGTGCGCAACTAATGATACCATCTTAACTCTTCAACTGGGAGTTAAATCCACCCACCTCAGTGTGGCATGGAGTTTGCTTTCTCCCATGCCAATAGTATGAAAAAGAAGGGAGGGGAGGAAGAGAAATTGGCTTGCTTTTAAAAAAAACAAAACCACAAGTAGTGTAAGAAGCTAAATATATATATACTCTTGAGCGATGTTGGTTTTAATACAGCTGGTGGATTGAAGTCTTGTGTGGCTGTTGTCTCACATAAGTCTAAAGCCCCTTCCACACAGCTGAATAAAATCCCACATTTTCTGGTTTGAACTGGGATATATAGCAGTGTGGACTCAGATAACCCAGTTCAAAGCAGATATTGTGGGATTTTATGCCCTGATATTCTGGGTTATATGGCTGTGTGGAAGGGCACTTAGGCTCCTGAACTAGTCAGGTTAAGGATTGTGCTAACACTTGTATTATAACACTAAAACAAATGTTGAATGTCCTATCTATTGTTTAGGAGATGTTAAACTTCTTATTCTAGTGACAGTGGATGAGCTCTAACTTAGAAAGTAGCCTTAGTTAATAGGCTTTGTTATAAGCTGAAAGGAAAGACAGAATTGGGTGTGGGTGAAGTCAATGGATTGAACTAACCAACCATTGTAGAATATGGAGGTCTTATAGTTCTTTAAGGATATACAAGTTTTGAAAGGCTGCTCCATTTCTACAATGCACTAGTATGAGCTTGGATTTGTTGCATTATGAAATTAGACATTGTAGGTATGTTACTTCTTTTATTTTTAGCTTTTGTTTTAAAAACAGCAACACTGCCATGCTTGCTAGTGTCCAGCTCCACAGTGCAGTGCTATTCACTATTCATTTTAAATCTAGTAGTTAGCTGCATGTGAAATGTTGAGAGAATTCTGCCTGCAAAATTTCTTGTCATTGTTGTATGCCTGCAAGTCATTTCCAACTTATGATGACCCTAAGGTGAACCTGTCACAGTGTTTCCTTAGCAAGATTTGTTCAGACGGGTTGGTGTTGCCTTCCTCTGAGGCTAGGAGAGTGTGACTTGCCTAAGGTCACCCAATGGATTTCCATGGCTGAGTGGGAATGCAAGCTCAGGCCTCCAGAGTCCTAATCCCTACACCATGTTGGTTTTCCCTTTGTAAAGCAGGAAATTGTAATAGATATTGTTCTGTGTTAGGCATTAAGCCAACCATTGTCACATCCATTCATTCAAAGTGCAGGGTACATACAAGTATATGAAGATCTACCCAATATATACATTCACGAGCCTTTGTTGTTTCTTATGTTGAGGACAACAGTTCATACTTTTCTCATGCTTTCTGTTTTGTGATTATTTTTATACCCATACTGATGACATATATTCACAATGGCTGGCGTTTACGTAACAGACTTATTTTTATTCTTGTGTAATATATGTGTATGTGAGAAAAGGGAAGGATGTATCAATATGTTCAAAAAGTGTGTTAACCAATAGATATATTGCTAAAATGAGAGGCTTAAGGTGCTAGGAAGCAAGCAACTGAAAGGCATCATCAGTTTACTTCAACTTACATTTCTTATTTAATATTTGGGCATGATGTACATATCATGAGTCATACTGTAAACAAATTGTTAATAAGTAACAAAGTCAGTGTTCTTGGTTTTCTAAGATTATATTTGCTGTGAGGTAAGATTATAGCTCTAGAAACATTTGCTAGATGCATATGTATGTATATGTGCCTTGAAGTCTCCTTACCATGATCCTATAAATTTCACATTTTTTAAAGCATGGAATGCTCAGTGATGGGTTTGCTAGTTCCGTCCTCTGCCAAATGACCTGCAGTTCCTGGTATTTTCTTTTTGCATACTTGGATAGAAGTTTTACCAGGCTCACCCTGCTTCACTTCCAGGAACAGAATCTAGTGCCTTTAAGGGTATTAAGGGCTTCACTAGAATAGATCCACACAGTCGATGGAATTTACATAAATCATTATTTATCATTTTATAACTGGATTTAGATTAGGGTATGATTTGTTTCCAGGCATGTCAGATTAGCATGTTGAGAATGCAGTCCTGATCACATTGACTTAAGCAACAAAATTTTAATTGGTCTCCATTTTTCAGACTGAAATTCCCTCCCTCCTAAGGATTTTATCTCAGCATTACCTGGAGATTTGTTTAATTGAGTATAAGAGATCTACTTTGTGTAGTTTATAGTTGGATTGTCTGTGTTGTTCCTGGACGGAATATGTACTTAGTGGCCAAAAGTTAGAGAATGGATCATATGAGGTGAGGTGGGGGTTATTTATGAAGTATTTGTCAAAGTGACCCACTGAAGAGCATTGCCATATTGAACATATAGCACCAGATAGATGGAAAGAGAGTGGTAGTAAATGTATTAGTAAAACCACTTCAGACTGTTTTGAAACAAACTCTTGTGTGCTACATTGGGCCTTTTGCATAGATTGTTTTTTTTTTTTAAGAAAGCAAATATAAATGATGAGGAAGGTATTATGTGAATTTTTAAACATGATTTTTAAAATGTGAGCCAACATGGTGGACATATTTGAGTGTTGGACTAGGACTCTGAGAAACCAGAATCTAAATCCTCACTTGGGCATGAATACCCATCAAGTTTCCTTTGGTAAATCACATTTTGTCAGTCAGTCAACCTAAGTTCAACTTTCCACTTTTACAGGGGTTCTGCACTCCTATCTCCAAGGAATGTGGAGGACTGACTGTACTGTTGTGATAAGAGTAATAGTCAGATGATTTGCTATAATTCAAATCTAAGAGTATTAACTAGTCTTGAATGAGTTGGAGACCATGATATGATAGCACATGCCTGTATAAATTCATAACTGTCAGGAACATTCTTCAAAAACAATGGGAGATACACACACACATTGTTTATAGCAACAGCAATGAAAGGTGGTTCCAAGATTGTTACCATCTTGGAAGGTAACAATTTTGTATTACTAAACAGCACACTTCTATGGATGTGTGTCCCATTATGTTAAGTATAACCTCCATCCAGAGAAGTGGGAAACCTAACACTTCTTTCTTTTCCACTTAAGAAACTAATAACTTCTAGATAAAATGGACCTAGAATTATATCCAGCAAAATTATT